AAAGGTAGGTTAGCCTGTCTATGGTATATATCTTTATTTTCTTGCAGAACAGTAGTTGATTGAAGTCGTTTGACAAAAAATTCGACGTCGAAACTTTCAAAGCTGTATCGTATGTTGTGAGAGGTACAATATTTATGAAATCGAAAAACTTTAAAATACAATATCTTAAAGAAAAAATAAGCTATTTGAGCAAATTCAACGGCATTTGAAAGGACTAGGCTGCTACTTTAAGATATCTTTTATAGTTTTTTGTGTATAGAGAATTTCGTAGTGCTACATAACCTCAAATATAGGCAAAAATTGCTATTTTCGCACTTTTAGGTTAGGATATCTCAAAATCCTGACGTGTTGGAGAAATTCTGAGGCCGGATTCGGTTTCAGCGCTAAAAACTCTTCGGGGAACCATGTATGGTTTGCTTGTGCAAATATCTTGTCGGACTGTGTTATAATTCATATCACCCAGAATCACATAATCTGAAATTAGTCTTATTTATTATTAAACTAATGTCTTAAACTTGCTCATTCTAGCTTTCATACAAACAATTTTAAATTAGTTAAGCTTATTCTTTTCCAAAACTATTCTTCAGAATTCATAGAACAATATATCAAAAATAGTACAGCAACTATCAAAAATCATAACAACAAAACTAAAAAATAACATTGAACAGATAAATATTTATGTAGAGCCAAACTTTCAGACCGTTAAAAAATTTTTATTTTAAAAATGTTAAAAATGTTCAAGTTTTTGAGACAGAAGGTAATAAATACATAAGACTATTTTCTGAAATGCTTCACATAAAAATAATATATTTATAATTAATATTATATTTATAATTAATATTATATATATATATATATATATATATATATATATATATATATATATATATATATGGGACGATCTATGTCAACCGGATCACTGCTGTGTCCAAAATTTGATGTGACCAAAAAAATCGTGCAACGACTCATTTTAAAGCTTAGGATATTTACTTTCTGATGCTGTGTGCGCCTTTGCTAAATCCAACATGACGGCTCCAATATGGCGGCTACAAGAGACAAACTCGTAAACAAAAAATTTTATTTTTCAAATTTTTAGTAATAAATGTTAAAAAAATTAATATTTCATATTTTTTTATGAAAATCTGGCTCATTTCCTACAAAAAAGTAACAGAGACCATTTTCGCTAAAATGAAAAATAGAAAAGTTATAATTTTTTGAAAATTTTCAAAAATAAAACACTGCGATTTTTTACTCAGAAGGAAATAACTTTGGAAAAAAAATTTAAGGAACAAAATTGCTTGAAATTCATCAAAACACAAGTGTGAATTTTTTCGAATTCTTTTGAGCGATTTTTTGCTTTTTGGATTTATCGGATTGTTTGAAAAATTAAAAAACTTCCCAAGATCTTTTACAAAAATTCAAAAAAATCGCTCAAAGGAATTCGAAAAAATTCACACTTGTGTTTTGATGAATTTCAAGCAATTTTGTTCCTTAAATTTTTTTTCCAAAGTTATTTCCTTCTGAGTAAAAAATCGCAGTTTTTTATTTTTGAAAATTTTCAAAAAATTATAACATTTTTATTTTTCATTTTAGCGAAAATGGTCTCTGTTACTTTTTTGTAGGAAATGAGCCAGGTTTTCATAAAAAAATATGAAATATTAATTTTTTTAACATTTATTACTAAAAATTTGAAAAATAAAATTTTTTGTTTACGAGTTTGTCTCTTGTAGCCGCCATATTGGATTTTGCAAAGGCGCACACAGAATCAGAAAGTAGATATCCTAAGCTTTAAAATGAGTCGTTGCACGATTTTGTGTGGGGTCCGGGAGACCTATGAAATATAATTGCCACGGTTATGTGAATTCCAATTTTTTTCTGTCTACTCTAATGATTATTACAGGTCATTTATTTCAAATAAATTAATGACCCAACAAATTAAGATTACCATTAGATATCTGATTGTCGATTGACTGCTTAAATTGATTTTGTAACGAGAAAGAAGATTGCTGTTCGAAAAAACATACAATTTAGGAGTCGAAGGTGTAGTAAATAATAAAATTTATGTACATTACTTGGCAACGTTTCGGTAAAAAAGTTACCCTCATTTGGCGTTTACTTCTAATTAAACGCCAAAACTTCAATACAAATTAATTCTCAGTGAACTTCTCAGTATGCAATTTGACTTCTATAAAATGTAACGCCTACGTAACAGATACAAGAAAACGCCAACTGAGAGTAACTTTGTTACCGAAATCTTTGTTGTCAAATAATGTAAATACATACGAAATATACTTATTATTTTGACTCGGCAAGATCAACTACAATACTGCTAATTTGCATTATGAAGTGAGTGAGTTCCCAATTTTGAAAAATCAATATTGTACAAATGACTTTTGAAGTTCTTCTGGCCCTCGGTTGTGAGTACATATCTGGATGTAAAATTTTGCGCTTTTTGAGAATCCGGAATCAAAATAGGGCTTTTTGAAAGAAAAATAAAAATAACCTTGAAGTGACCTAGAAAATAAACGTCAAGGTTAAAGTCGCGTTCAACAGGAAGTGTTCCTTTCAAAGTCCAGTAACTTTCATCTGAAACATTTTTCGCTAAACCGTATTATTGTAGGATCATTAGAGTAGACAGAAAAAAAAATTGAAATTCGCATAACCTTGGCAATTATCTTGACGGGTCTCCCGGACCCCACACATAATAATTTATCTGAATCTAAAATTCTCCGCTAATTCTGAATGTGGGGTAAAAATAAGTGTTTCTATTTAAAAAACGAAAGCTGACCTTGAAATGACCTTGAAGGGTTTTTCAGACCTCACGTATAATACGTCAGTTGAACGTATAATTTCCCGCTTTCTCCGGATCGAAGGTTAAAAATAGAGATTCTTATTTAAAAAATCAAAGTTGACCTTGAAATGACCATGAAAATTAACTTTGAGGTTAAAAGCAAGGTCATCACCAAGTTCATCAATAACGAACATATCAACTTTATTTGAAACATTTTTCCCTATAACGCATTCCTTTCGAGTTTTTGTACAGACCCGGGACTTTTGGGACACTCTGTATATAAATATAGACACGAACAATTTAAGAAACTGTTACAAATATTTTACTGCTAACTATTCTCCTTGAAAATACCGATTTGATTCAAATTCTTCTTATTTCGGCTTTGTTTAGGACAGTCTCTGTTATGTCATTTTCATCTTTCTGTAGCTATATGCACTCTGTTTATGTATACGGATTTTAGTCGATGTCGATAATTAATTTTTATGATATTATGTGTTATCAGGGTCCTTTTCGAAAAAAAACTCATTTCAGTACATTTAAGTACTAACCGGTAAGTAATTCACTGTTTTGCGATGATTACTTTGGTTACACGATAGTTAAACTATCAGATTAGTTATTGAATATTGCTATTTACTGAAAAGAATTTTCTTCCTTTAATTTAATATAGTCAATAATGCGACGGTCTGTAAATAAATATTGTAATGAACTGTGTGGGCTATGTGGAAATATTTAATTAGAACCTATTTACACTTCAATGATATAATTGTACTGTACTTTTTACTAATAATTTATAGTCATAAATGATGAACTACGAGGGTCTTTTGAAAAGTCCGTGCAAAAATAAAAACTGCTTGATTTTTTTTAATAAATCTTTTTTATTTTTCAACATAGTCTCCTTTTAAGATTATACACTTCATCCAACGCTGCTCTAGTTTGTTAATCCCTTCCAAATAATAGGATTTGTCCAAGTCTGTAAAATAGGCATTCGTTTCTGCAATCACCTCTTCGTTTGAATAAAATCTTTTCCCTGCCAGCCATTTTTTCATATTAGGGAACAAATAGTAGTCCGACAAAGCCAAGTCTGGAGAATAGGGGGATGTGAAACGAGTTGGAACCCTATCTCCATCAGTTTTGCTCACTGCTGAGGCGTGAGCTAGCATAAACGAAAAGACAAAATTTGTCATCAGTAATTTATAAAGCGTATCAAAAGAATGTCAGAGTGTGATCAATATTTTTTATACATTAACCCATTAACGACCAAAGAGGTCAGTTTTTGGACATATTTTTGATCGCAAAATTCATTTGTAAAACGAAACAATAAATTGATCCAGGGTACCATATCTTATGTTTTTGGGTGTGCTGAATCTAAATCCGGGCTCAAAATTCAAAAATTTTGTTTACAGAATTAAATATGGCCGATTTTTTATAAAAAAATAAGGAAATTTTGAAAACAAAAATTTTATGGAATTTTTTTTCTACCATAATACATGCCAATCTCGAAATCTTTCTTCAACCATGAGTGCACAAAATTGTTGAACTTTAACAGAAAATTTTTATATTCCAAGTTTTTTTTTCCAAAATGGCGGAAAAAATGCCAAAATCTGGAAAAAAAATACGTTTTAGGTTACTATTTTTTTTCTTAAAAACTATTAGGTTCGGGAAAAAACTTTATATTATAAAAATGACTTATAATTTGTCAAGAAAAACTCTGAAATTTTTTGAAATTTTTTTTTAATTTTTCAAAAAATTACAAAATTGAAAATTTCACAAAAATTTCGAAATATTCTGTAAAAATTAAAGAGAATTCTTTGACTAATTCTAAGACATATTTGATCTTATAAATTTTTCCCGAAAGCCTATAGTTTTCGAGAAAAAAATTCTCAAACAATTGTGGAAATTCTATTCAACCGTTTCAACTTTTGGAATTTCATAAGATAAGTTGGGGTGCAAATGTACGGGGTTTCCATTCTCCATGAGGTCGGAGGAAAAAATCGTATTACCTGAGTATTACCTGAGTGCTCATAACATTTATATTTAGATTTTACTCTCAGCGTAGCCCATCTCTTCTCTTAGAAAAGTTTTACCAAAACCTATTTGGGCAGATCGATTGAAGTCGATAAACATAACGTAATTTTTCAACTCAAAAGTTATTCAAATTTATCCTTTGAAATTAGGAGATTTTCTTAACACTTTCGTGTTTATACTAGCAATGCCTCGAAAAAGATCGAGAAGTGCTGTTTCTTCTGAATCTGGAAGTGAATCTGAATCATGCACCACAGACGATGATGAAAATTGCATGATACCAAATGCAGAATATTCTGGTTCGTCAGATTCTGAAAATGATTCAGATAGTGATTCAGATAATTACCGTGATGAAAAAATACCGAAAGCTACTTACAAGAGAGTTTCAAAAAGTTATCAAGCTGATCAAGCTAAGCTTGAAAAAGATCATAAATTTGATTGGGTAGATGGTGAAAAGATATATTCTGACATAATTGAAGATAAAATATTATTTCCTAGATCTACAAAAGAAAAAATTAGAAAATGTGATCCAAAAGAACTGTTTGAACATTTTTTTTCTATTGAAATGAAAAATTATATTATCGATGCATGTAAGGAAAATCATTTTGACTTATCATTAGTCGATCTAAATACATTCATTGGAATCATTATAACAAGTTCATTCAATAAACGAAAATCTCAAAGAGATTATTGGTCAACTGACCCTTTTTTATCCTGTGAAAAAATTTCTTCAGCAATGTCACGATCTCATTTTGAAATCATAAAGTCTAAATTGAAATACTCAAAGGCCAAAGATAAAGATCGACAAGATAAGGCTTGGCGAGTTCGTGCTTTGTTGAAACTGTTTCAAAAGAATATTCTGAAGTTTGGCTTTTGGAAATCAGCTTTATCAGAGGATGAAATGATGGCTAAATCGTATGCTAGAACGTGTTTGAAACAGTTTATACGAGGAAAACCTACACGATTCGGTCTTAAATTTTGGAGTTTGTGTGCTGCTAATGGATACTTATTCAATATAGATTTATACTGTGGAAAGAACTCTGTAATAGGAGATAAGTTATCTAAATGCGCGTTAGGATCTCGCGTGGTTTTACATTTATTGAAGCCTTTTTTTGAATTGACTTCTGATGCAAAAATTCCTCTTTATCATCTTTATTTTGACAATTACTTTACAAATTTGGATCTTGTTGTGCATTTAAACCGATTAAAATTGAAATGTACTGGAACTGTTAGAGACAATCGTGTCCCAGTAAAAAATGTCATTCATAAAAAGGCTCCATGTGGAACATATGCAGTAAAGCATGAAAAAAACTCTGGAATCAATTACATCACGGTTATGGATTCAGAGCCAGTATCAATACTATCTACAGCTGCAGGGGTCAGTCACTCCATTATCATCAGCAAAGAGATACTATACAGTTCGATCGAAAAAGAAAAAGTCGATATACCAGTTCCGCAAGCTTTTCACCTTTATAATCAGTCCATGGGTGGACTTGATGTACACGACGGTCACTGTAACAATTTGTTGCCAAGTATTCGTTTAAAGAAGTGGACGTGGGTGGTTTTCATTAGACTTATCCAAGCAGCAATTACAAATGCAGTTGTAATATTCAATACTGCTGATGATAGTAAAAAAAAAGTTGGAACTAAAGAATTTACAATATCAATAGCGGAAAGTTACATTCATGATGCTGAAAAAAATAAGGAAAAGCATACAACAATTCGAAAAAAGAAACAGAACAAGTGTTCCATTTGTCCAATAAGAACATATGTGTACTGTGAGAAGTGCAATTTGTTTTTTTGCAGTGCATGCATGAAAGCAAAGCATGTCTGATTACAGTGAGAGGCCAGGGAACTCACTATAAAAAAGCACCTCGTAGAGTGAGAGGCGAGAGGACTCACTATAAAAAAGCACCCCGAGGAGTGAGAGGCAAGGGGACTCACTATAAACAAGCACCTCGAAGGAGACATGATTTTACTACGTCCACGCTGTTGTCTCTGGGTTACGCTAAGAGTAAAATATAAAGATAAACTGAAAATAGTCACACTTTAGAGGTACTTACGCAATACTTTATTTAGAACCTCTTGATAAATTAAACTTTGGTACGTTTATACCCCAACTTATCTTATGTAATTACAAAAGTTGAAACGGTTGAATAGAATTTCCACAATTGTTTGAGAATTTTTTTCTCGAAAACTATAAGCTTTTCGGAAAAATTTATAAGATCGAAAATGTCTTAGAATTAGTCAAAGAAGACTCTCTAATTTTTCCAGAATTTTTAGAAATTTTTTTAAAATTTTCAATTCTGTAATTTTTTGAAAAATTAAAAAAAGTTTTTATAGTGTTCCTTGACAAATTATAAGACATTTTTGTTGTATAAAACTTTTTCCTTAACCTCATAGTTTTTGAGAAAAAAATAGTAACCTAAAACGCATTTTTTTCCAGATTTTGTCATTTTTTCCGCTATTTTGGAAAAAAAACTTTAAATATAAAAATTTTCTGTTAAAGTTCAACAATTTTGTGCACTCATGGTTGAAGAAAGATTTCGAGATTGACATGTGTTATGGTAAACAAAAAATTCCAAAAAATTTTTTTTCCAAAATTTCCCTATTTTTTTATAAAAAATCGGCCATATTTAATTCTGTAAGCAAAATTTTTGAATTTTGAGCCCGGATTTAGATTCAGCACACCCAAAAACATAAGGTATGGTACCCTGGATCAATTTATTGTTTCGTTTTACAAATGAATTTTGCGATCAAAAATATGTCCAAAAACTGACCTCTTTGGTCGTTAATGGGTTAAATAACTATATGTAAACTTAAAAAGTGAAAAAGTGAATAAAGTGAACTGCACGTCCAATCACAGCTTCATATTCATATAGCTGGATAAACGTTCTGCCCAACACTAAACACATGATTCTTTTATTGCTCCTATTGTTGAGAACAAACTTAAATAGTTCATACTGGATTTTCGTTCCAACAAAAGCAAGAGCATGAACTTAATCGAGATATCTTATTATTTCATTACAAAAACAGACAAACAAGAAAATTAAAAAAAAAAGTAATTTTAAAAAGAACCTCCTTAACTTATTCAACTTTCAAATAATTTACTACTGCTTATTATACTTTAAGTTGAAAAATAGATTGTAATTTTAAATAACATTTTTCACACTTCCAATAACAATTTTCATCATGAGATGTTGAACGTATCTTAGTTTTAAATAAAAAAAAGGGGATTTGTAAAACTCTACTTTCAAAATCTACTTTCATGAAGCATATACCGATTTTTCTAATTTTGTGAAAAAGTTACAATTTTTTAAAAATCTATCGTATAACCTACTGCATGCACAATATTTATTAAAAAGAAACTGAATATTTAAAAGCATATTTCCTTCAGCAGAATAAAAATGATCTCCATACTATACTTAAAGGAAAAATGCAGGATACATAAAATTATCCTGCATCAATACATTTAAAAAAAATATTATAGGTAAAAATAATAAAAAAAATATATAGATAAATTAGATAGAACTATATTACATGTGTGTGTGTGTGTGTGTGTGTGTACATATAGATCTCCTATTATTTAATTATTAATAGATAATTACGTGGTATTATCCTGATCCTGCAGCTCATCAAAATCTTCATCTCGTGTGTATAACGGTGGATCGATCATCTGCTCACCGGGAGTATCTTTATTCAAAACATTTTCATCATTGTGCACAGCGTCGTTATTTGCCACAGCATCTTTTCCATTTCCATTAATTAGATTTAATTCTTGATTCAATTTAGATGACATTATAGGTGATGTCTGAAAGACAATATTTAATTATATATATATACGAGGGTCGTTTGAAAAGTCCGTGCAAAAATAAAAATTGCTTGATTTATTTTAATAAATCTTTTTTATTTTTCAACATAGCCTCCTTCTAGGCTTATACACTTCATCCAACGCTGCTCTAGATTGTTAATCCCTTCCAAATAATAGGATTTGTCCAAGTCTGTAAAATAGGCATTCGTTTCTGCAATCACCTCCTCGTTTGAATAAAATCTTTTCCCTGCCAGCCATTTTTTCATATTAGGGAACAAATAGTAGTCCGACAAAGCCAAGTCTGGAGAATAGGGGGATGTGAAACGAGTTGGAACCCTATCTCCATCAGTTTTGCAACCATAACTGCTGAGGCGTGAGCTGGCGCATTGTCGTGGTGGAAGAGGACTTTTTTGTGGGCCAATCGTGGACGTTTCTCTGGCAACTCGGTTTTCAAACGATCCAATAACGATGGATAATATTAGCCTGTAATGGTTTTATCCTTTTTCAGATAGTCGATGAAGATTATTCCTTGCGAATCCTAAAAGACAGTCGCCATAACCTTCCCGGCCGAAGGAATTGACTTCGCCTTTTTCGGAGCAGATTCCCCCTTGGTAATCCATTGTTTAGACTATTCTTTGGTCTCAGGAGTGTAGTGATGTATCCATGTTTCATCTACAGTGATGAAACGACGCTTAAAGTCTTGCGGATTTTGCTGGAACAGATACAAACCATTCTTGCAACACTTCACACGATCTCGTTTTTGGTCAATCGAGAGCAATCGCGGCACCAGTCTAGCGGATAGCTTTTTCATGTCCAAATGTTGGTGCAAAATATTATGTACCCGTTCGCTCGAGATGCCTACAGTACTAGCAATCTCACGCACCTTCACTCTTCTGTCAGCCATCATCATATCATGGATTTTATCAATGATTTCTGAAGTGGTAACTTCAACAGGGCATCCGGAATATTTAGCGTCTTTTGTGCTTATATGGCCACTCCGAAAATTTTGAAACCACTTATAAACCATTCTAATCGAAGGTGCACAATCACCATAATGTTTATCAAACTTCTGTTTAATTTCCTGAGGCGTTTTGCCTTTGAAAAAGTAATGTTTAATCAACACATGAAATTCTTTTTCGTCCATTTTTTTACAACCACTCGATTTCTTTGATTGAAACGAATGTAAAACGCAAAGTAATTGGTCGATCTGGCTGAAACTTGGTGTGTGCTCTTCCAAGATATGCCACTAACTGAAAATAACCTTGATACGCACTAGTAGCGCCATCTCTCTGACTTTGCACGGACTTTTCAAACGACCCTCGTATAACGGTCCAGTCTGATTTACCTTTTCTCCCACTGCAAAATAACAACCGATCGTACACAAGAAAACTGAAGAAAAGCGGTACTTGAGCGAAGGCGCTCTTCTCATATACACGTAAATGTGTTAGGACAATCGGCGGAAACAAGACCATATAAGGAGCATGACGTCACAAGCGTGGGAAAATTATTGTTTACAATGCAAAATCGACAATTGCAAAATTTTTTCTAATGAACTGTAACGGTAAACGTCTTATTAGTTCTAACAGCCCAACCATGCGGCTGCCTGCGAGGGCAGTACCTACCGGTTGAGGCAAATGTAATAAGGGAATTCGGCACGCGACGGGACGGAACGCGCGCGTATGAAAATGAACCAGTCGAAGATTAGAACCCGCACACTCAGCTGTAGCAGATAGTAGTTCGAGTTTTCCCGAGTTTTTCTTGGAATGCTAAGCCGAGTCAACTGAATACATCGAGAGGAGCGGTGCCTGAGCCAGAGCAGATCGAGTGCGTGTTAGTGTGCGTTAGTGAAGGGTTTCGCCATCGAGGGTGAAACCAAAAACTCGAGATACCTCGTGACAAAGACAGGTTTTCCCCGAAATTAGAGTGTGAACTTTCTCTCTCACGGTGCGACTGCTAATCAGGTAAGCTGGCCAGCTTAATTTCGCGATTGCTATATAATTGCTAATAACTAATCTCTCGTACTCCATAAGAAGCGTGCATGTATTAACCCAGCGAACAAAGAGCGGCGAGCGATCCGACACTGCATGTTATTGTCGCGCGCGCGCTTTGTAAACATAAACATGCGGGCCGAATACATTGTTAGAAATAAGAGATAATAAACGATCTCGTATGTGATCTTGACTGTAATTTCGATGTTATTATTTCACGACAGTAGAAAGTTGGTTGACTGACGCCCATTCCCTCCTGCTCTCCGGTTTTCGAATTTGAACGTGTAGATAATCCCGCGCGCTCTTCGACGTGATCGCGCACATAAATAAATCGTCGGTTACCAACCCCGTTACAGAACAAAAGCATTTTTCAGTCAATTTTTATGCGCTGATCTCGAATCTCAAGTTATTATAGTCATTAAATATGTATTTGTTAGTTTAATTCAATTTATAAGTAAATATGGTTAGTAATTTTGCAACAAATAAGTATATTGCAAATTTGAATATACAATAGCGATCGAAGCGTATTAAGACAGAAAAGCAAGAATTTGACACTTTGATAACTAATTTTTGACTGAGTTATCAATAAATAAAAAATTCATAATTTATTTAAACAATTAAAATTGCGTTGCGAGATAGCGATTCGACTGTAAATATCTATAAAATTAATGATAACGATTGTTACCCATTTGTTGATTTTATAATGGTTAAAAGAGAAATTTACAAATTCGTTTTTTAATTATTATTCAAAAATGGATTGTTAAGTTAATCGTTTTTATTTTGAATAATGTTCCACTTTTCACAAGCGATTTTTTTCTGTAAAAATTTTCCGTAAAGTTATTGTAAATTCTGTGTTAGTTAAATTTCCAACATATATCACATATAATTTTAAAAGGTGATTTTTCCTTGAGGAAAGATTTATATTAAAAAATTTGTTATTCCTTACTTGATTTCTTAAATCATTAATTTTCAATTTCGATCGAGCCATTTTACGACAAAACTTGTACAAAGTTTATGCTAATATCAAAAATAGCG